TGAAACGCAAGCAACAACAATTAAGGACATTTGTGGGTGCGGAGGCCCAGTCTGAAATGGTTAACAATGGTGATGAAGCTTTGTTGGACGAAAAGAAACCAAAATCAAGAAAGCGGATCAGGAACGAGGACCAATGGAAAAAAAATCAAAGAAAATTTTTGCGGGCTACTGGTAAGGAATACACTAATGTAAACGGTCACATTGTTCCCGCTAAACTATTTTGTTACGTGAACAATTGCTGTAAATTAAATTGCTATAAATTATTTAGCCCAGAAACGCAAAAAGAGATTTATAATAAATTTTATGGGCTTGCAAATTTCGATTTACAGACTGGATACATATTTTCTCAAATTAAAGTTAAACCAGTTGCCCGTCATTACACCCCTAAAAACAGTGGCATTCCTATTCCTACTAATAAATCGAAAAGCCTTACGAGAGAATATTATTTACCCAATAACCAAGAAAATGATGTAAAAATCTGTAAAAGTTTATTTAAAAGGGTTCTTATGGTTTCAGACGATAAACTTGATAGAACTCTTAAGAAAAAACTGCCTTGATGGTTCCATTGGATAAGCGAGGGCGCCATCCCCCTGCTAATAAAACTCCTGTGACAAAAATTGATGATGTTTGCAAGTTCATTGAAAGTTTTCCAACCTATATTTCCCATTACTCTAGGCATAAAACAGTCAGAAAATATCTTGGTCCAGAGCTAAACATTCGAATTCTTTACAGTGAATATAAGAAAAAAACAGTTAATTACGTGTCAGAACATAAGTTTCGTGATATATTTAACAGTAAATTTGATATACATTTTCATCCGCCCATTGTAGACTCCTGCAAAACTTGCGATTCTTTCTGCTTCAAGTGCCGTCTTCGTTCCGAAGTTTGGCTATCATCAAAGCTATGCGTATTTTTGATGCTGCAGATCTAAACAGTTGGTAATTGGTGCAATTGTACCATTCTCTCAAGTTTTTCAACCATGAATGCCTTCTTCTTCCTATAGATCTCTTTCCCACTATCTTTCCCTGTATAATCAATTGCAGCAACTGGTATTTATCTCCCTTCATAACATGTCCCAAATATTGTAGTTTGCGCTTTTTAACAGTAAGTATCAGCTCTTTCTCTTTCCTCACTCTCCGCAAAACCTCCACATTTGTTACTTTCTCTGTCCAGGGTATTTTTAATATTCTACGATACATCCACAACTCAAATGCTTCTATCTTTTTGGTATCGATCTTTTTCAATGTCCATGTTTCCATCCCGTAGAGGAGAACTGACATAACGTAACATCTCAAAAGGCGAATTTTAAGTTTTAGACTTAGATCTCTTCCGCAGAACACCTTTTTCAATTTAGTAAATGTGGCTCTAGCTTTCTCTATTCTGGTTCTGATTTCTTCAGAGCAGTCATTATTTTCGTTGATAACAGTTCCCAGGTAAGTATATCTTCTTACACGTTCGATTCTTTGATCATGCACGGTTATATCAGGGAAGTTTTGTGGTGATTTAAATATTAGCATTATTTTTGTTTTGTTTATGTTAAGTGATAATCCGTGTTCTTCACTGCATTCTACTATTTTGTTAATTAGTATTTGAAGATCTTCCCAAGTTTCTGCGATTAGTACCGTGTCATCGGCATATCTCAAGTTGTTTATTCGGATGCCATTTATCTTAATACCCATATTTTGATCCGAAAGTGCTGTGTTTATAATGTCTTCGGAGTATAGATTGAATAAGGTCGGTGAGAGTATACAACCCTGTCTTACGCCTTTCTTGATCTCGATTTCCTCCGTTGTCTCTTGCTCTATTCGGATATTTGCTTTCTGGTTATAGTAAATCTTAGAGATAATTCTAATGTCCCTTTTATCCAAGTTTTTTTCTACTAGCAGTTTCATTAAGTGGTCGTGACGAACTTTATCAAACGCTTTGTTGTAATCAATAAAGCACATATATATATATATATATATCTTGGTTTATATCTAGACATCTTTGGCATATGACGTTAAGTGCAAATAGTGCTTCTCTTGTTCCAAGCCCGTTCCGAAATCCGAATTGAGTATTACTAATATCTGCATCTAGTTTTCTGTTAATTCTTGAGTGGATTACTTTGATGAATGCGATTCTTTAGGAAATAAAATAAAATATGAAGTAGATCAAACAAAACTGAAGGAATTAACTTTGAAACTAGAACTTCACCAGCGCAAAGCCCAACAACTACGAGATGCTATGGATCAGGATGAAAAAATTCCATCGAAGGAAGATGTTACAGTTATCGCCTTTGATCTTATGAAAACCCTACCTACACCTGTCATCTCTACCGGCATAACTTATTATAAGAGGCAATTATGGACATTCTGTCTAGGAGTTCATAATTTGCAGAATAATGAAGCCACCATGTTTATATGGGATGAATCGATTGCATCTCGTGGAGCCCAAGAGGTGGGATCATGTTTGATGTACTATATTAAAAATAATGTAAAGACCAAAAAAGTTATAATGTATTCTGATGGCTGCGGAGGCCAGAACAGGAATATCAAAATGACTTTAATTTGCAACTATATTGTCCATTCTCAAGAATTTGTCGTAAAAGAAATTCAACATAATTTTTTGGTTAGCGGTCATTCTTTTCTCTCGTGTGATAGGGACTTCGGACGTATTGAAAAAAATAAAAAATTCTTTCCTAATATTTACGTTCCCAATAACTGGATTGATGTCGTATTAGGAGCAAAGAAAAAAATCCATTTAGAGTAGTCCTAATGGAAAAAGAAAACTTTTACTCTACTGTGGGGTTGGAAAAACTTATTACAAACAGAAAAATAAGTTTAGAATCCTCAAAAGTAGAATGGCTAAAAATGCATTGTATTATAATAAAAAAGAAGACCCATTTGTTGTATATTTTAAATATGGCACCAGTGAGTGTCATGCTGTACAAAAATTTAGCATTCAAAAAAGAAATGTGGTTATGGAAGATTTCCAAAGACCGTTACCTCTGTTGTACCCAAATGGAAATTGTATAACCGACGCCAAAAAGAAAGATCTTTTACAGTTAACCGAATTTATTCCACCCATCTATCACAACTTCTTTCAGTCTTTAAAATGCTCATTAGGAGCGCACGATGAACTGCCCATAGTTGATAAAAATTTTGATGCAAGTTTGTAATATTTTAACAAATTATGATTTTTTTAAGTTAATCTATGCCATAAGTGTTTATTTTGTAATAAAATGATATTCAAATTAAAGTATGTGTCTTTGGTTTTGGTCCACTACGGAAGAACAAAAACTTTTATTAAAGCCAGAGTGGATCAAGCCACAAAAACTTCTTCTTTAGTGCACATTGTGGTATATTTTTAGTGGTGCAGCAAAGGTTTACCTTTTCTTATGATTTTACCAAAATTTAAGCGTTGTTAAAATGATTTTATCAGTATTAAAAAAATTATGAAAAATCGAACATTTTTTAAACGCATTTATCTCTAATGAAGTTCTTATGTGGATAGTCCGCTCTGGTTCTCAACGCCTCAGATGTTGTAACTGGTATAGTACATGCGTCTCGAGCAGAATATTTCTTTTTCCAAAGATATAATTTGGACTATTATGAATCACTTGCTCTTAAAATTGTTGAAAATAAAAGTTATGAAAAAGACTGTAACAGAATTCTCGAAGGAAATAAAAAATATGAGAACGGACAAGCTGAAGATCTTAAACTTGATGGCAGATAATGTTTTAAAATCAATAGGTACCTTTTTAGTCATCATTATTCAGTTCATAGTTGAATTTAAAAGAAGGTATAAGTCATTCAATGAGTACCAAGATAAATTTAATTTTGAGATCAACGGCACAAAATCTCACAGAGACTCACAAAAATGATCTTGAAAATGCTTTGGCGGAGATGAGTGCTGCCATTTTCAAGTATACTGTACAGTACCTGGTGAGGAGTTTAAAGATACCTTGTTGGTAGGCTTTTAGGATTTTAATTTACCTCAGGTAACTTTATCTTCAGGATGTCTACGTGTTAGAGTGTTACTAATGTGTCTTTCGATTCCGGCACCAAAATGCTCTGACAAAAGACGTTTTTCTTGCTTAAAGAAGGTGAAAAACCATTTGGGATTAACTATTAGTGAAGATAAATTGAACACTTGAAATTTCCGCAAATATAGGTTACAGTGCAGTGCTAGAAGACTTTGATCAGAAGAAGGTTCGGAGGAAAGTATTATAGATGGGGCTTGAAGAAATAAAGGTCTTATTTCCTACTACTATTCATTATAAACTAAATGGCATCCTATGGAAGTTTGATGAAAGGCAAAACATACACTTTACTGCTGATTCGCCTACAATAAAAATTGTAATACAAGTGTAAAGAAAAGAAGTCAAAACTAGTAGTTGTAATAATTTATTTTTTAAATAAACTTATATTTTTACTTGATAATATATGCAAATTCTATTCTAGGTGTCTCATTTTACCAAAAGTTAATTAGGAGACAGACATAATGAGTTGATGATGAAGATGAGGGAGGTGGGGCGGCGGAACGCGGCCGTACTAAAAGCAAAGAATATAGACGCATATGCCAAATGCGACCCCGCGTATATGAAAACAAAAATATTTTACTAAAGAAATTTTCTATTTAAATTAATGATAGAGTCTTTAGTAAATTGAAATCTACTCCTTTAATAACAGTATCCTATGATAAAAATCACATTTAGACTAAACTATGACGAATCTATTAGATATTATTTAAAGAAATAATTTTATCATTCAATATATCAAAATATAAAATAAAATTGATTGCACTGTGTAAAAAAATATATTTAAGATTAAAAAAAACTTATTACAAAATTAAATTTGTCAACAATGTAATGTGTCTCTACAAAGAACCACTATATTTTGACATATAGTTACACTCAACTACACGTGACTAAAATGTGGTGAATGTGGCGTTCTTTTTCTTTTCCTTGTGAATAACAAAGAGACGTATCATTTATCGATCGTTAAGTTAAGTGTGGTTAAGTATGATAACATTCAATTATTTATAGAATAACATAACCAACAATTTTTATTAAAAACTTAAAATAATTTATATGTACTTGTTTATTTAATATAATATTAATTTACCCTGCAACTAGAAACTAGATTATAAATGTCTGCCTTAAAAAGAGTTCAAGTAGGTATATAATTATTTTTGAACTTTCTTGTTGTTTTATTAACAATTAAAGCTACCAGTATAAGTGTGCACAATTTACTGTCTCACTAATTAATCAGTGTGTCAATGAATAATCAATGAATAAACTCAATCTTTAATGATGCTTTACTAAATTCGCAAATTATTCTTTTTTTTTAAGATTTAAAATTTTTATTTGGCCAGTTTGGTAACTATTAAGGAATTTAGGCTTTTAGCTTGGAATTGTTTCGTCTCCAACTGCGGCAGACATCAAAGGCATTAATGATAGGAGATTATGACTGCTCCTGCTATTGATAAGGTCTGTTGCACAAACTAAACATCATAAAGAAATAATTCTAGATGGCAGGGTATAAAACCTGAGTACAATGTATCATTTTGTAACTACTTAAATTACAGAAAGTGTCATCATCATCATCTTGATGCTACAGTACTTAGAGGGCCTCAACCTTCTCAAGCTTTCTACGCCATTCTGTTCTGTCTCTTGCTTGCATTTTCCAGTTGCCAACTCCAATCTTCTCCGCATCTTGTGTTACCCCATCCATGCACCGCAGCTTTGGTCTACCCCGTCTTGTCATTCCCATGGGTTGCGCTGTTAGAATCTTTTTTATCATGTTCGATTGAGGGGCCCAAGCTACATGTCCTGCCCACTGCAGGCGGTTTCACTTAATTATAGTGGTAATATCTTTACCACCAAATGTATGCTTGTAGATATTCTGCAGCTCAAAGTTATATCTACGTCTCCATATTCCGTTCTCACAGACCGCTTAGAATATCTTGCACAGCACCTTTCTTTCAAAAATTGATAGAGCGAATTCATCCGTTTTAGTTAGCGTCCATGCCTCTGATGGAAGGTCGTCATTCCATCTTTTGCGTGGTTGTCCGATACTTCTGCTGATTGGTGACATCTCTTCCTATTTTGATGCCACAGGTCTCCTCCATTCTGCTTATGTGGTTCCATTCTTTTTTTTCCATTTTGTTTGTCCATTCATTTATACACTATATCTTAAATTTTCTTCTAATATCTTCATTTCTCTTTCAATCAATCAGCATATTTCCTGTAATTCTTCTCAGTACTCTCATCTCTACTGTTTCCAGCAGCCTTTGCCTTTTTTTTGTTTTTGCAACAATGGTATAATGGTATGTCATTAAAGACACTGCCACATTTTTAGTTGATGGTTGAATATACATATCTATATTACGTTTTGAATAATTTTTATAAACTTAAAATTGCAAGGTGTTTTCTTTTTTTTTTTCATGTAGCAGTGGGCAACTTTTGCAAGAATTTGGCATATATATGATGTAGCCTGGCAAAACCCATTTCATTCAGCAGAACTTCTAAGAAAATACCTGATGGGTATACACAAACCCATATACCATCCTATGAGTAAGTAACTATTTTGTAGGCTAAAAAGGATATTAATAGACACCTATATATTTTCTAGATGATTGTGGAGATCACGTGATAGTCATAAACAGTGCAGATATTGCTTTACCAGGAGATGAATGGAAAAAGAGAGTGTACTTCCATCATACAGGATATCCAGGCGGAGCTAGTTGGACTTTAGCTTGGGAGTTACACAAAAAAGATCCAACATTGGTAAATAACTATATCTAAGTAGAGTATACATTCATTTTGATTGAAAACAAAAGTTTTTTACTGTTTTATTATATTAGATCTAATTGTTATCTTAGATAACTTTTTTCTGGTCATTAATACTAAAGAACCAGTCTAATACCTTTGTGGCACAATACAGTGTTGGCTTTTTCAATGTTTTCATATTCATGTTGCCTCATATTGTTATAATCTAACTATTAATACCAAATATATTACTTAGACCCCTCCAGGCTTCCTATAATCTCTATTTTTCTGTTGTTATATTCTATTTCCTCTCTTATTATATTACTAGTTGTACTATATATTATATTACTAGTTGTTCCACCGATCTTTGTATCATCTTAAAATTAAATAGGTAATGTATCAAAGTTCAAAGCTCATCTTTTGAGTCTGTTAAGTAACAGAAATCTCTGGTTAATGAAATAAATCCGGTCACGGTGTCAATAGCGACTATACGATTTCCAATATCTAACAACTGCTTCGAAAACATAATTGCACTTTGATCTTGTTGCAAAAACACTCACATGTTATTTGTCAATTGGATCGTCTTTATATGGCGCCACAAATTATATGATGTTAGACATACATTGCATGTCATGCAATGTTAGACATGCATTTAGTTCATTCACAACAGTTAACTAGGAAATAATTATTAAATAAGGAACAGTCTGAAAATAGAATCATGACTCCACCAAAAATGTTTTTGATTGTCATGAATATTATTATTATTATTATTGTATAACAAATAAAGGCAGAGAAGCAAGCTCCTATTATGCCCAAAAAGCAAAAAATATCCTTATAAAACTAATTTAATAATTAAGTATATCATTCAAAAATTTAATTGTGAAACAATAAATATTTGTGAAATTGTGAAAATAACACAATCCTATAAATAAAATAATGCGTTATTAAGTTTATTTTTAAAGATACTAGTTGCTGATATGGTATCTTAATCCAAATTGTTCCAGATATTAAAGATTCTATTTGTCAAGAAGTTCATCCTGGACCGTGTAGTAGTTTATTCCCTCTTTAATTTGTATCGATGGTCTCTTAATATTTCGTCTTAATTCAATGTGAATATGGTGTTTAGGTTCCTAAAATTATGTTTTAAAATACAGAAGGACATAATTAGGTCACCTCGAAGACGTCGCTGCTCGAATGTCGTAAGATGAGCTATGGATAGTCTATTTTCATAGTTTGGTCTTACACGGCCGTATGCCAGTGTTGTGGCTTTACGCTGAACATTTTCGAGTAGAATTTTATCGCGACTGAGATCTGGATTCTACACTGGACCGGCAAACTTAAGAATAGGTCTAATGTATATTGAGTAAAGCCTACTACCAGAAGTTAGAGATATACATGTAAAACATTTACGGATCAAAAACAGTTTCGAGTTTGCGCGTTTACACACCGACAATATGTGATCAGACCAATTTAAGTGACTATAAATTATCACTCCGAGATCTTTGTAGGAGGTTACCGAGTTTAAGGGATGTCCATTAATAAAGTACGGCAGTGATGGGTTATTTTTGCCGATATGTAGAACAACGCATTTTTCAATGTTAAGCAGAAGTAACCATTCTGAGGACCAAGTGAATATTGCGTCAAGATTTTGTTGAAGAACATATTGGTTAATAGTTGGATTCACATATACTTTCGTGTTATCAGCGTAAATGGAAGCCTTACTTCATACAATGAGCGGAAGATCACTAGTGTAGACATAAAAAGTAGCGGTCTAAGTACTGATCCTTATGGGACTCCACTCTTGACTGCCTTATCTAGTGAGTGGTCTTCCCCAACACGAACCCTGAAGTATATGTCGGATAGAAAATCTTAAATCTAAAGGTTTAACTTTAGCTAGTAATCGACGTTTTGGAACACGGTCGAAAGCTTTGGAGTAGTCTAAGTAGACTACGTCGACAGGATTCCGATTGTTTAAAGATAATGAACAATCATTTACACATTGAAGTAAGTTTGTGATCGTTGAACGACCTTTGATAAATCCATGTTGTTGGTGAGGGATGACATTTTCTTGAAGAAGAAACTCACACTTAGCTTCGGAAGTAATCGATTCCATGACCTTGCCGACAATAGGAACTAGGCTGATTAGATAATTATTGCAATCAAGGTTATTTCCTTTCTTAAATATAGCAGTACCGAAACCAATTTCCAGGACGAGGGGAGAGAATTTTGATTAAAAGAAGCATTCATTATGATATTAGGAGAAATGTAATGATGGCTACAGATTCTGCACATTGTTTGAGGAAAAAGGAAGTGAGTTCGTTTAATCCAGGTGATGAATTATTTTGTAGTTTCCTTAAATGATGTTTGATATATTGTCAAGAGTTTTAGACAAACGTGGGCACATTATTTGATAAATGGTATCGTTAGGTTCATCTGTAAAAACAAGAGAAAAGAATAACGATAAACATTCCGAAGATTCATTACTCGAAGAACATAAAGATCCGTCAGCTTTTTGAAGTAATGGTATGGAGACTTTAGAAGATAAAGATGTACGAATATACCGATAAACTTTTTTACTATTACCACTTGCAATGATATATTCTTCAAATTCTGTTCTTAACTTTAGCAAAGATTGTTGGACTCGGTTAGAAAAATTACGGAAATATCTTCACCAAAGCTTTCGCTTATGTCGAATTACATGGGTAGCTGAGAGGTTAATCCAAGGTTTTAGTCAATTTCTGTATAGCTGCCGTTCGGTTGTATGATCATAAATTGTTGCAATAGTAGTATGAAGAAAAAAGTCTCACATTTATGATGAATCAGAGTGATTAAGAAAAATAAATTGCCAGTTTAACTGGGATAAAATGAATTTACATAAAAGAAATCATTAGTGGCATACGTTTCGAAATTATTTTTACAAGGCGGTGTTAAACTAAATTGACTATGAGCAGTAATAAGCGAATGGTCGGAAAAACCCACAGAAGACACTTCAAGTGTAAAAATTAATTGATCCTCATTTGTGAAAAATAAGTCTAAAATTGAAGGATTATTGTTGGCTCTAAACCCTGTAGGTTTATTTATCAGTTGTAATAAATTTTAGTTCATGATAAAGTTTTTAAACAAAGTTTGGGAATTGATAGTATCAATTTTGGAAATAATGGGCCAGCTTATCTCTGGAAAATTTAAATCTCCAACAACAATGAGATTTTCAAGGGATGATAATTCCTCAGATTTTTTAATAAGCATATTGTCCTGAGTAAGTACTGTATCCGGAGGTCGGTATATACAAACTATATTAAATATAAAAGAGTTTTAAAAATTAGTAATAAGTAAGTAGATAATTTGTATACCGGGTACGTCTATTGTTTTATTACTGATAGAAAAAATATTGGTAATTTCATTTGCTAAATAGATGCATACCCCTTCGACGAGTATCTCTATCTCTACGAAATATAGTAAAATTATCAATGTTTATAATAGCATCGGGGATAGAAGAATTAAGCCACGTTTCTGTTAGGAGAATAATTTGCGGTTTTAAAAGTTGAACAGTACTTATAAATTCGTTAAATTTGGACATAAGAGAGTTTAGATTTGTATACATAAGAAGCCAATCCGTAAATTTTGGTGCAGAAGAATTATGAACGAAATTTCATTATCTTTGGACAGCCATTGACATGTTTAATCGTAAGGTCATTTTCTCCATTATTTTTATGAGTTTCAAGCTCAGAACGAAGTTCCTTTAAACGAAGTTGCTGCATAGGTGTCTTGTCATCAATAACAGAATACGTTTCAGTAGATTTGTTTTCCAAAAGTTTATTTTTGTTACGAAGAATTTTTCGAGTGTCGTGTTCAGAACTCATTATCACTTTTTTCATGCGGGGATAACGTTTACTTTGATTTGGCTTACTGACTCTATAAAATGTAACAGGACTTTCTTGACATCCAATGACTTCTAAGGCTAAATGTATTTTATTCTTATCATGATTTTTTTTATTTTGTGCGTCTCCTGTAGGTTCAGGGACGCCTCTAACCAAAAAATTTTTGGAACGAGATATGCTGTCAGCAGCTTCGTTGTCAATACTGTCGGTAAATTCTTTTGTTGTAATAGAATCAAGTTGATTTCATTTATTGCTGAATTCAGATAGTTTAATATCAAAGTCTTCAATTTTCTTCTTAATGTCCTCTTTAAACTCGACTAGTAGACTCTTGATTTCAGTAGTATTTCCAATGTTTGAATTACATGCTTTGCAAAGTATGTATACATATATCCACGTCCTTTTTGCCTCGTAACTCGATCATCGACCGACAGATCCGTACAAGCAATGTGTACTGATTTCTTACAGCCATCACACTGGAACTTTCTATCAGAGGTAGAAGTTAGCTTTGAACAATTAGCGCAAAACGATGTATTAGGCATGATTAACTTTCTGCTAGTTTTAGATATGAATTATAATTATTGGTTTGATTATAAACTATTGATAACCAAAGAAAACTAACATATTTTTGTCATGAAGCAATTGGTGTTTTATTTCTGATATTATGTTCAAGGTCTTTTGCCCTTTCATTTATATGACACACTTTTGTCTGATAATTAATATAGAAAATAATCATTTTTTTACAAATAATTTAGCTTTACTTAATTCTAATTTATAAAGTTGAATAATATTTCTAGGTTCTAAAGAAAGCTGTGTATAACAGCATGGATGGTAACCTTCAACGGAGATCTACAATGGAACGATTGCACATCTTCCCTAATGCAGATGTCCCTACGAGTTTACTAGCAAACGTTTCAAATCAAATAAGACAATTAAGACCTAAACCAAAGAGGTTAGATACTTATCCAGATGAAGAAGTAAAACAATTTCCCAAGATCATTGATTTACCTAAAGATTATATTTTGCGATAAATTGAAATAGAGGCTGTAGTAGTAGTTTTATAAATAAAATTTATTTAATAATATTACATTATGACTATTTAATAGTATTTACATTATAACTACTTATTATTATCGCTAGTATCTTGCTCTAAAAAAATGTGTCTTCAGAGAGTTAGAAACAATGTCTGCTGTAGTCATAGACAAAACCTGTGGAAGCAATAAGTATAGCCTACGGAATATAAACCCGGAGAACAACTTATTATTAAAAAATAGAGGTTGAAAAGGGTGAAAACCTACACTACTTGATGCTAGAAAATTATTCATGAAAGTAACACATGTCCTAGATCTTCTTCACGTGCCATCTTCGCGACGGAGGTTGGCAATCATCATGGATATTCTGATCTTAGATGCTGCTACTCTGAATACTTCAATTGATGTGCATCCGTACCATTCCCTCAAGTTACGCAACCATGAGATTCTTCTTCCTACACTTCTCTTGCCCTGGATTTTCCCTTGTATAATCAATTGAAGTAGGTTGTATCTCTCATTACGCATAACATGCTCCAGGTATTGCAGCTTTCGTGTCTTGATGGTTTCCAATACTTCCATTCTTTTGTTGATTCTTCTCATGACTTCGTTGTTTGTTACATGCTCGGTTCATAATATCTTCAGGATTCTTCTATACACCCACATTTCAAATGCTTCCTACTTATTAGCAGTCGACGCGTTAAGTGTCCATGCTTCCATCCCATCAAGCAGAGTCGAGAAAATATAACACCTTGCCAGCCTAACTCTCAAGTCTAATTTCAGTTCTCTTGCACAAAGTACCTTTCTCATTTTATTGAAGTTTGTACGTGCTTTCTCTATTCGAACTTTGATTTCTTTGGAGTAATCGTTTGTGTGATTAATTATTGTGCCAAGATAGTGGTAAGTGGAAGATTTCCGCTTCCCGCATTTCAACCTCCATCTTTTCCTATCTCTCCAATCTCTCTCTTTTAAGCCTCTAGATTGCATTCTTTTTGTAATTTCTCTTCTCCAGGAATTTGGTGGTCTTCCCCTTTTCCTTCTTTCTGGCGGAACATACATTAAGGCTTTCTTTGGCCACCGCCCCTCCTCCATTCTCATCACGTGATCATACCATTGTAATTGCCTTCCTTGTATTCTGTCTGAAAGAGTATATCTAATTCCTGTACGGTTTCGTATTTCCTCATTCCTGATTCTTTCCATTCTCGATACTCGACATGACCTTCTAAGATAATCCATTTCCACAACGTCTACTTTATCTCGTTCATTCTTTGTCATCGTCCAACATTCGGCACCATATGTGGTAATTGGTTCTACAATTGCTCTGTATACACGAAGTTTGGTATGCATCTTTATTTTATTAGACCACAGTAATGAATTCAGTATTCGGATGCATTTTTTACCTTGGTTATTCGATTTTGTACATCTATCTTAACTCTGCCATCTGCTATGATGCTTCCTAGATATTTATACTGGTTGCAACCTTTTATGACTGCGTTTTCAAGCCTCAGATCTGTGGTATTTCCTCCAATTTTTAAATATTCTGTTTTGCTTATGTTTACAATAAGCCCCCATTTGGCATATTCCTCAAATACTTTTCGATTCATATAATTTATATCTTCCTCATCGGTTGCAACCACCACCTGATCATCTGCAAACAACAATGTATACAGAGTTTCTTGTCCCACTTCGATCCCATAAATCTACATTTATTTCTCCAATTCCTCAATGCTTCTTGGACGTATATTTTAAATAGTGTCGGTGACAAACAGCATCCTTGCTTTAGGCCTTTAGTGACTTTAAATTCATTTGAAGTTCTGGTTCCAATTTTTACACAACTAACTGTCCCTTTAACGGGACACTATCATATGCTTTCTCAAGGTCTATAAATACCAAATGGGTCTCTCTACTTCTTTCGACTTTCAATTATTTGTCGTAGGATAAATATATTATCAAGGCAGGATCTCCCGGTACGAAAACCGCTTTGTTTTGATTTAATAGTCAATTATTGATCTTAAATTCCTGGTAGGCTGCGTCGATGTAAATTTGTGTATATTCTTATGGGGGAAGAAACCATTTAATATTTTCAAAGAATGTGCCTCGCAAAAATCTATTAATCGTTGACCATTGTCGTTCAGAATGTCTTTTCCATATCTCCCTACTATTTGAGTGTTGGAACTCTTTCCAGTTCTTGCATTAAGATCACCGAAGATCCAAATTTATTTCTTCTTATTAATTGTGGTTAGAACAGTTGTTAACTTGTTAAAGTACTCTTCCTTGCTTTCAACCCTTGAGTCATCTGTCGGTGCATATGTTCCAATTACCACTATTTCTTGCCATGATTTAATACATTTTTTCAGTTTCTGATGTATTACTATAGACACTCCCCTTTTAGCTCGTTCGCTCTTTTCTACGCAACTATAGAAATGCAGGTATTCGTTTATCTTTTCATTTCCTCTTCCTTTTTTCTTTACTTCAGTTAATACACAGATATCTAGTTTCATTTTACTCAGTTCACGGAAGACCTCCTCCTGTTTTGTCCTTATTCCTTGTATGTTCCATGCCCCCAAATTCATAGTCCATTTTCTTTGCGAATTTCGTTTATAGTTTAATCCGTCCGAATTACAAGGCTTTTTGCTGAAATTTTTAACCTTTGATCATTATTTCCGAGTATCGAGGAGTTGGCCCGATGCCTCAACCCCAACTTGGAGGACCAGGGTTTTAAATCAGAGTATCCTTCTCTTAGATAAGTTGCCTTCTCTACGGCTTAGGAGTCCTATCTACCCCATCTGTTGGTCCGCGGGTGGTAGTTTTCAACTTGTTCTAAAGCACTACCGTTAATTGTCCGGCTTTCACCATTATTTTGGGTTTTTGATATCCTCATAAATTTGGTTTTCTTGGTGTTTATTGATAATCCATATTCTTCTCCATACTCAACTATCTTGTTCATTAGCTTTTGGAGGTCTTGTAGGTTGTCTGCTATTATGATAGTATCGTCCGCATATCTGATATTGTTAATTGGTGTTCCATTGACCTTGATTCCCGCTGTTTCTCCCTCAAGAGCTCTTTTCATAATTTCTTCAGAGTATGCATTGAATAGTAGTGGTGACAATACACAACCCTGTCGCACTCCTCTTTTAACTTCGAATTCTTCTGATGTGTGTTCATTAATGCGTACGTGTGCCTGCTGTTTATAATATAGATTTGTTATAATTCGAAGATCATTGTGTTGTAGTGTAGTTGTTTTGCTTTGAGGATGTCCATTAGCTCTTTGTGGCGGACTTTGTCGAAAGCTTTGTTGTAGTCTATGAAACAGACGTACATATCTTGGTTCACATTAGCGATTAGTGGGTTATGGTCTGATGTGACATCTGCTCCTGGATATGCTTTAACTGATTTGGTGGTGTTACGATACCTCTCTTTTATCATTATATAGTCGATTTGGCTTCTTACAACTTTTTCCGGTTTTGCTGGTGAGCGCCATGTACATAACAGTCTCATTGGTAATTTATAGAACGTGTTTGTGATTATTAGACTTTGTTCTTGGCAGAATTGTATTAGACGATCGCCTCTATCGTTACGTTCTCCTAGTCCTTGGTCTCCCATTACTGTTCCAGCTTATTCCAGCCCTATTTCTTTGTTCTTTGTCATTTTAACTGCATCTTCAATTTGTTGGTAGAATGTTTCTACTTCATCTTCTGTTGCATCCGTCGTTGGCGCATATACTTGGATCAGATTTAGTTTTGTGTCTGATGTCCTTATTTGTAGTAGCATCATTCTTTTTGAGATTGGGACAAAGCCCTCTATTGACTCGACCTCTGTATCGACAATAATTGCTACTCCACGTCTATGTTGGTTATGAGTGATTCCCGAATAATAGAAGGTACCGGTTTTTGTTGAAAGATATCCTGAGTTAGGCCACCATGTTTCGCTTACTCCTAGTATACTTATATTCAGTCTTCCCATTTCCTGAGGGATGTTATGCATTTTACCAGGTTGATACATGCTTTTGACGTTCCACGTACTTATTTTTGTTTTTGATAGTTTTAGTTTGTCTTGTTTCGAAGTTTGACAAGGGTTTCGCCGGTTAACGACCTGGGAGTCCTTGTCTGTTCCTCCCCTGCCGTCCTAGATGAACAATGTGAAATCTCTTCCAAAATGAAAATATTAATCCAATTTAAGTATCCGTATCATTATAACTATAGTTACAGTAGGCGCCACTTAGTACCACTAGCACCAGTATAAAGATAACTCATAGGGACTTATGGGATATAATTATGGGACAGCCAGTAATTCTAATTTGGAAATTCTTCAAATTTCAAAATAAAGTTATAAGAATGATAGTAAATGTTCCCTGGTACGTGTCCAACGAAGTGATAGGAAGAGAACTTAATATCTTAAAAGCAAGTGATCCTCTTGTAGATCCTAGCATCCATCATGTGGGTTATGAATGTTGCTAAAACCTCGATATTAAAGAAACAAATATAAATAAGTTGCTTTATCATGAGTTGTTTTATGTTTTTGGGAATGGTAATTACATTGCGCTTAACAACTTCCTTGCTTCCATAGCAAGTAAGTGTATGCGCCTAGCAGGCGCATACACATCGAATTTGGACGGTCGATAAAAGTTCGACCGAACTTTTGTCGATAATGCCTTGCGCGCACTTTACACAATATTTATTCGATAACGTTTTTTAATCCACAAATGTTTGTTAGGTGGAGTACACAAAATCACAATGAGCAACACAGAACCACAGAGCGACGTACCTTGAGCAATATCAAAAAAACGCAACTGGTCCTCTGGTCGGTCGATAAAGATCGATGTGTGTGAGCGCGTTCATTTGATACTATACGCCTTGGAACGACGGCAACGACCACGGCAGCCGTGAATGCAGTGACATTCATCGATCGCCACACGACATCGATGCCGTGCCATTTGTTTCTTCGCGCCACCAAAGGAATTTATTCGATCGAACTTATATCGACCGTCCAAATTCGATGTGTGTGCGCCGAGCCATAGAATGGCAGGTATGTATGGTTAATGATGTTAAAGTTGCTCTAAAATTATTCTATGAAGTTCTCTCTATAAGAATTGCTTACTTTGTGCCAATGAAGAAATATAGAACTTCAATTTTTCCCAAGTGGTTCTCTGCTGATCTTAGAAGACTGACTCTGAAGAAAAAATATGCTCACTATATTTATGTTAATAATCGTACTGATGATGACTATATTAGATTTTCCCACCTAAAATCTGAATGTTAACAACTGTCTGAAATTTGCCTCAGCAACTATATTAAAAGTATAGATACTGGCCTAAGAAATGGTCCAAAATCATTTTAGAAGCCCAATCCGCAACATATGGTCAAGACATAGCTAATTTATTTATTAACTTCTTCCAAACTGTGTATTCACCAAATAACAACCTGTATTTACCTATCCATCCATTAAATAGCGACTTTAGCACAAATATTTGTCATTCTAAGATTACCATGACGATATTTTTAGTGGCATAAATGAGCTACCCAATAAGCTTACTGTTGGTCTAGATGCGAGTGCCTAATTTTTTATTAAAAAAGTGTGTCTGTACCCTTGTAATACCATTTGTTATATTGTTTAATAGATCTATGAAAGAAAGTTGTCATATATTTAGACATGGTCAGAAAGATAGTATTGAAAATTATAGTAGCATTTGTATACAATCTGCAATCCCTAAGCTCTTCGGCAGGGTTAGGGAAAAACAACTTACTGGTTTATGTAAAGACTTATCTATATACCCGGTATTTAGGCGGCACACGCCCTTCCGGTAGGGATCTATGGAGGAGTATCACCGAGACGCAAGCCCTTATCTAGTGCCGTACTGCTCCACCACCATAGGCCGATCAGACACCAGCATATTCTAGTCTTAGCCGCAGATTCATTTAGAATTTTAAACTGCTGCGTTAGCCTTTTTGTTTTCTGTACACCGAGCTAGGGATCGAACTCACTTCCTCTAAACCACTCGCAGTGAAGCGAATGAGAAACCGGCCGCCCAGCCCACTTGGCTATCTGACCGACAGATGTAAAGACTTAATATCTACAATCACAACATGGTTTTCATAGCAAAAAATCTAGTGCATAACAAACTTGGTTTGCTTTATATTATTTATATTAAATTTATATAAAAATTAAATTAATAAACTATTTTCTTTGAAATCTTTTTTACTTAATTATACAGGGTGTAACAACAAAACGGAGTCTACTGGGAAAACTGCTACAAAACAATCGTAGCTCCGTAGTGGCTACAAATTTAAATTGTTAATTTATATACCGACAGGATATATACCAACTTGTATCAATTATTACTATTAACAGTCTCAACTATTATTACAAAGAAAAGTGTGTATACACCAAAGAATAAAATTACGCTAATAAAAGAATAAAAATCTATGTAGCCTAAACGCTAAAGACTTACAATAACAGTGTCTGGTCTCTACTCAATTTCGGAAAAATCGTCCTCACTGGAACGTCCTCGTTGGCTGTGATAATCACCGGTAGGATATCTTCTTTTAGGTTGTCAGCTATCCACATTTCTTTTTCAATTCTGATGACATGCTGTATAGAATTTTGCCACTGTTCAGCAGAGACATTGGCAAACGCTTCATGGATGAGTTGTTGCACACGATCTTTTTTAAAGTCAGTGTTTCGGGCTGCAACGTAATGTTTAACTTGGCTCCAAACCTTGGCTACTTCTGATACTTCTACGCCGTATTTCTCGACCAAAGTTTCGATGTTACACTTGTATATATCTGCATAACTCTTTGCTACATCCAATAGTTCTGACTTTAAATAATCTTCTTCATAAAATATATCCTTCTCTCGTAACCATTCTTGAATTTGTTGTTTGTTCCAGGAGCTTCTTGGGAAATTTTGTTTGCACGAATAATATGGAGCATTATCCATTACTACCACATTTTTTTCTCATTTTGGGAGGTTTGTGATTAGTTTATTTTCAAACCAGTCTTCGAAAGACTCGCCGTTTATTTCGTCATGGTAGTCGCCTGAATCTTTTTTTGCTAAAAATACACATTCTGAATTTGGTAGAAAACCTCATATCAGATCCAACATGTAACAAGACAAATCTCGGACCCTTTGTTTTAGATTATTTAGACCAGTAGTCAAGCCTTTTAAAAATGCATCCTTATAACTGGTTATGGTTGAATCCATCCATACCTTATTTACTGTATGTCCGATATTTACCCAACTGTCATCCAAATAGAAAATATTGTCAATATAAGGTTGAATGTTCGAATAATTAAACTTTGAGGGTATACAAGGCAACTATCGAACACGGTGATTAATTTAATCTTGCCCAAGTACTTTCAATCAATAGATCATCTTCAGGGGCATTTCGTCAATTGTGGACTATCCGACATAGTAGAATGTCATAAATTTAAAACTGGACATAACAATACAAAATACACTACACTAAGACAAACAAACACTTTAAAATTTATATGGCGAAGCTACATATTGTGAAGAAGATTGATTCTGTCTCCGGCTTCTTCACAATATGTAGCTTCGCCATATAAATTTTAAAGTGTTTGTTTGTCTTAGTGTAGTGTATTTTGTATTGTTATGTCCAGTTTTAAATTTATGACATTCTACTATGTCGGATAGTCCACAATTGACGAAATGCCCTGAAGATGATCTATTGATTGAAAGTACTTGGGCAAGATTAAATTAATCACCGTGTTCGATAGTTGCCTTGTATACCCTCAAAGAAAATATTGTATTCTTGATTTCGATAATTCTGTATTTTTCTAAGAAATTTATGACTCAAATTTATTATGTCAGGACGTTCTATCATTACTGCTTTCTTTCCTCTTTTTCATAAACAAACCCCATCTCTCGCAATAGTCGATATAGAGTAATTTTGGAAAATTTAGACAAATGATCGTGTAAATTAACGACATCCAGGATAGCTTTGATTGTGGGAGGTATGTTCTTTAAGAAAAATTCCATGTGAACAAGTGTTCTCAATTGGCTCCTGATATTCTCATCGTAGATAAACTCCCGATTGGTTTCCTTCTTGGTCCATTTACGTGGGTTTTTCAGAATTGGGAAGTCTCCATTATGATCCAATTCTTCCTGACGAATTTTCTAGATTGTCCTATCATTTTTTGACAAGTTAACGTACCTTCTCGAATGCACACACAAAACAGTTAAACCGTTTCTACAAACTGCAAAACTGCTGTAGATATACTCACTCGTATAACAATTAGTAGATACTATTATCAGGAAAATTCTAAATGGGTATTTAATTACAATACCGAAATTTCTACACGATTAAACCATTTCTACAAACAACCATTAGTCAGTAAGCTATTCTACGACTTTCACTTCCGAGGTCATTATCGAAATACAAAATATTAATCAATTACAAAAACTTTGTTGTTAGTAAAAAAATTCTTCTAATAATTAAATTTAATCTGACTCATTCATATCGGCAAATCAGACATATTAAACATTTTACAGTAGAAGACATTAAAATGATATTGCCAATATTTACGAGTTGCAAGGATTTTATTTAAAGATAGCTCATTCAATTATATGAATAAAATATCAGTCACAAAATCATAACATGTGATGAGTGTTTTAGGTTAAATCTTCGTATTTTGTGCTAAGGTATCTCCAGTTACTATATGGATAACTGTTAATGAAACACCCTGTATAAATAATTCTAAAATATAGATGATGTCTCCTCGATATATTTTTGACTTATCTAATCTACTAATCGTGGAATTTTCTTTCTATTCATTTCAATTCTATCCAAAAGGTCTCCAAAACATCAATTTCCGTAAATATGACAACAAGAGATGTAAGAAATGTTCTATTCGTCAAATACAACAGTGCTCAACAATTGATATGGATCGAAGTAATATTTTACTTCAGAAATAGCCGAAGTTTGTGAAACTTTAATATAATTAAAGTAATATTAATACCCCAACTTTATTATCAAGTTTAAACGAAATAAAATAAATTTTGCCATTATGGCCATTTTTTTACTAGGGTTAGCAAAAAGTTGAATATTAAAGTCGTCTATTTTTATTTATTCTATTCAAGTCATCATACTAGGATCTCAACAAACTTTTAAAATACTTCAAATCATAATTATGATCCTTATCAACTGTTGAGCACTATATTATGACGACGTCCGAATATTTTCTAGAACAGTCATTAGGGCAAATCAGTGAATGTTAGTGCAAAATTGCAAGTGCTCCGTGTGTAAGGGAGTGTTAAGTTCGAAGTCGGCTCTGCCACGTTGAGGCCGACGATGAACTAGCAACGCTGCAGCGTTTTCTTCCATTTGATTAACATTGTCCGTAAGAGCCAACGCTGAAATCTACTGGTGAATCTGAGTTTAGTAATGCAGACTAAATGCAAGAAAATAGATAATGCCACAATAACGCCCGAAGTGAATAGGATATGAAATATATGGGTAACTAGTTTTTGTAAGTAGAAATGATGGTAATGTACAAAGTCAGTCATCAATATAATACTGTGTAAGGATTAAACAGGGTTGTTTAAAGGGCGAGAAGAGGAAAACTCAGTTTAATAGATTAATAAACATAATACACACTAAAACTAGCTTAATGTTTAATCTAGAATTTATTCAACAAAACAAATCTTTTCTTCTACCACTTTTTGGATACATCTTGATAGTCCCCATCTGGACTATTGTAATTTTCTATAGGTGGTGTTTCGACTGGTCCTTGGCTTGTAAAAGGCATCAAATGAAAATCAAACTGAAACAAATAATGATGGAATTTTGTTATTATGTATAATATCATTATGAATATACATAAATAATAATGTCCACATACATATGGGTGGTGTTATGCAAAGTCTATAATCTGTTGCAAATCACATGTTTTATTATAGTATACCTATGATACACACAACTAAACTTATATGAAATCATCTGATATTTCTTATTATTTCAAGAGGAAAAAAAACAACACACGAAGTCAAAGATTATTTATTTTAAACCAATTTAATTACAAATAAGTACATAAAAATAAAGAAAACGGTAAACTCTTGAAATAATCAATTGAATTGAAACCATTGTCAACCAAAAGTCAAGAACATAAAAATTTTCAATGTAAAATGACTTTTTGTTTTTATTTATTTATGCTTTTATAGTAGTCAGTGTAGTCAGCTTGTACTAGCTATGAAGTGTTTTATTAAGGTATTAAATTTTCTCCCATCGCACCTCTCCAGAGCCTAACTGCAGAATTTAGAACCAAATCAACATACCTATGAGCTGTTAAAATTGGTTGGATGGAAATTAAAGGGGTTTTTTACTGGTCATAATGCCTTCTCACAATATGACACTTCCTTCTTCATATATGTGAACATATCTAGCAATTCTTATGGCTGCAATGGAGAAAAAACTAGAATTTCTAGAACAAGCCCAGCATCTCTGGCCCCTAATTGATATAGAATTAATATGAAAAATTAATTTATCATCACAAATTACATCCAGATCTGTTACTGTCGATGTGTATTTAAGATGGATGGTTATCAATATCCATTCAAATTCCATTCGTTGAAATTCAAATAAGTATAGCTTATTTTTTTTGGTAGCACTCTGACAAATGATTTAAGTCCTGGAGCAATTCCTGATCTGAAATACTTTCAATGGTTCTCCAAAATTTGAGATCAACATGTAACTATATCATTCACTAAAATATTAAATATGAGAGGAGAAGTATGATCTCCCGTTGGAAACTATTTTAATTCTTGAATAACACCAGTGAAAGAGCTTCTCTACCACGAAACAAAGTTTGGGTCGAACCCATTCAAAATAAAATTCGTATACAGTATTTCCTGATCAACACGATCAAACGGCTTAGTGAAATCTGTGTAAACTAAATCAGTCTGCTTCCTGCTTTCAATGTTGTTTAGAATATCAAGTTGACGGGTTAATAGATTAGTCAAGTTGATTTGTTTTTGGGGAAACCATGTTGCTCTTAACATATAAGACCCTTACACATCCAAGAAATCACAGCATCTGTATCCAATTGCAGATTGGATACAGATGCTGCGATAATTTTAAAAGTTTTTTTTTGTCCGGTTTTAAAAATTGGAATAGCGTAGCGTTTTAAAAATTTTTGTGCACTTATTGTTATTACTAATGTTCATAACTTTATTTTAAAAAGGGTACGAAGTGTTTTGATTGTCAGTGTAGATATATTGAAAAAATACCTTAAACAAATTTGCCATCTCTTGACTGTCCCTAACAGTTTGATTGCCATAAAACATTGAGCTGGGTAGACTATTGATGGACCCATTATCATTTATATACTTCCAGAAAGACTTCTCCATTAGTGTTGTACCTAGACCTCTCTAGATAATTCTCAATAGATTGCTCTGTGTTGTAAGCCAAATGTGCCCGTTTTTTAGCTATAGTTAATACTATGCGTTGAGTCATTTTTAGCTTGAATTGATGGTTAAATGTTTATTGTGTAATTGCTGGTTGAATATTCACAGATTGTGGTTTAAAATTTCACTTCTATCACTGTTTTAAATGCTGATGTAACTTAAATCATTTTTGCACAATTTAAATAACAATATAAACTACCATGTGACTCATTTTTGCATAACACCACCATCCACAAAATTTTTTGTCTTAAACATTCCATCAAATATTTCAACTAAAGAATTGCAGTTGTTTTTAAATAATATTATTCTGGTTTGATCAATTATTATCCAGTTTTATTTTTAGAAGATTTTAATAAGGTTCTGAAAGTAAAATATTATGTTTATAATGAAAAAGACAGCAAATATTTGATTTCACGCAAACATCGTCTATGTATCTGTTGATACGTATTTCGACCTAATAGGTCTCATCAGAACAGTTATTCATAGGCGTTCTCAACGTGAAAAATCAATATTTTCTGTCTTTTAAGAAGCAACACTAAAATGGCTTCGATATCGACGCAATAGCGACATCTGATAATAAATCCGTAAAATAGTTTTGAAACACAATTCAGATTTCTGCTATCTGAACCTTCTAAAAATTGCAAGGTATTACAGACGTTGATAATCAACGAAATCTGAATTGTGTTTCGAAACTATTTTATGGATTTATTATGTTTATATTTGGTTAAGCCACAATTTATTGTAATGAAAATTAAATTATTAAATAACATTTGATGTTTTGATTTCCACTCCAGAAATTGTTTTCAAAAAAGTTTACTTTAAAAAAATATGGAAAAATGTATAACCAACAAGTTCTTAACAACTTGACTAAAAATATACCTACTAAAATTTATTATACATTTTGCCGTAATTTTTTAAAATAATCCTTTTTAAAAAACGATTTCCAGAGTATAAATCAAAACATCAAATATTGTTAAAAAATGTAATTTTCATTACAATCAATTATTGTGATTTAACCCCATATAAACATAATATTTAACTTTAAAATTTTTTTATATTTTCATTTATCTTCCAGATTTAGCCATACAGCTCACACTCCCTCTAAGGGGAAAATTCACTCATCCCAGATACCTACGGTATCAAAAGGGTTGAGCTCTGGTGAGACTCTTTCCGTGTTATCGAGCCCTAGGTGAACATGTTGGAGTCTCCCGAAAAATTTTCGTACACATCTGGATGTTGAGACTAATACAGCTTTCTGCATTGTCTTGTAGAAATGTTCATTCAGACCTAACTTTTTTATGTTTTCTAGGAGGTTCTTTGGAATGACTCCAGTAGTAGAGAGAATAATACGTATTGTCTGGATACTTTCCATTCTTCACTGTTTTCGTATGTGAATTTCCAGATCCCTGTAATTGGTGATATTTTTGTTCTGTTTAATATGAAGATTATTGTTGTTGGGTATCGCCACATAAATTAATGTTGTTTGTCAGTTTATTGACTAGTATGAGATCTGGTCTATTATATGCCTCTGTTTGGTCTGTCAGCACAGTGCGGTCCCAGTATAGCTTGTAGTTGTCATTCTCTAGTTGTCATGTATACTCTCAGGAACGTATTGATAATGTGGAAGATGGTTTGTTTGAAGAAGTCCCAGTTTGATAGCTATCTCTTAATAAAGGATCTTTCCTACTGAGTTGTGCCATTCCTTATATACAGTTGCAGCAAATGCCTGACAGCCCCTGTTAAGAGGTTTCCTGAGCTTGGCATCCATATCAGCAAGAGCTTATTTCCTCTATTATTATTATTATCATTGACTCAAAAGCCATCTTTAGTGAGCTTAAGGATTAGAAATAAGCATTTCTACTATTCCATAAGTGTTAACCTTGGGAGTTTGACAGTTTGCATTTGTCTACGAACATGTCAAAAGAACAATAGACAATTGGAAACAAATATCACATAAGAAAAAGTATAGAATGTCAATTCATAGACAATGTGTTTGGAATAAGATTTACAGAAGGGTTGGAAAATTTTATGCTGCTTGTAGTGAGTCACACCAGGTTAATTTTGATGAGGATTTAAAATTGGTTTGAGCAGGGTTTGCTTCTGAGGCATACACAGATCTTGTCCTGCCTAATATCGCAGTATATTGAACCATGCTGTTGCATTATCGAATCAAAACTGATTTGTTTAATTTGTATTATTTACTGTAATGTCCTTACGTAAAAAAATGTGGCAGGTATAGCTCACTGGCTTTCCATGCCCTACAGCCCAGGTTCTATTACTCCATTATTAGAAAATGAGGAGATATAATTTCAATGAAACAGTAGTATAAAATAATCAATAATCACAGAAAAAGAATGAGATGGCAGTAATATTCCACAGAATCAACAAGATTTAAGACTATGGTAAAAAATACAACCATAGAGCATATTTCTTAGTAATACTAGTCACAGTTACAGGCATTTACTATCTTTTATCTCCATGGTGATCATTTCAGAATTATAATCTTAAAAATTTAGTATTCACCTTCCAAAATAATATGAACAAGATACTGATAATCTTTACTAAACTTCTTATTTATTTCAGTAATAATTCTTCATTTTGCTTTCTCTTTAATATTCTCTTTTATATACCACTAAATGTATACTTTTATAAGTAACTAAGTTTTGCAGCTCACAAAGTGATCCTGGTAGAAGTCATGGGGATGAGCAGAATGGCAACAAAACAGAAAGAAAAGTAATAAAAAAAAGTAATACGGCTATACACATTATAAAAAGCAACTAAAATAATTTTTGGCAAAGAAATTCTTACTTGTATAGCTTCTTGGTAAAGTTCTTCGGATTCTTTTCTAAGTTCATCTAATGCCCTTTGCTGGGAATATGACATTCTATCTAACATTTGCATATCTCTTAAATGTTCTTCTCTCTTGTGATGACACCATTTCTTCTGCAATAGTGCTCTACGCTCTAAAATTTCAGTAGAAAGAGCTGCAAGATTTCTTTTACGGGACCTAAAATTATTTTGATTTAAGGTAAAATGTACACAAACATGTAAAATACATTAACATAAAATACATGCCAACATTTATATTCTGATGTTAAATACTCACTGTATGGTATCCAAAACTTCAAACGGTGGTTCACATTCTTCTATAGGCTTTAATTTACGTGCATTCTTTTCCAATCTTCTGATCTGCTTCTCTAGTTTTCTTTTTTTTCTTTCTTCCCTAGCTTTAACAACTGCGGGGTCAAGTCTCTTTTTCTTTTTCAAAGGTTCAGCACTATAATCCAAAATATATATTACATTGATATCATTTTTAATGTTAATAAGAACAAAAATAATTACTGTTACTTTAATATGCTCACAAAATACGATATAGTAAATAGGTAATTTTTGTTGGCAAAAATTAAATATTCTTGTGTCAAATTTGTTTATGTTACTTATCCTAAAAATACGAATAGTCTACGAAAGAATTATATAATAATAATTGTACTATATTGTAATACTTACAGCAAAACTGGAGTGAATTTAAAAGCCAATGGTTTATTTGTATAGATTGTTCTTGCCAGGGTTGGGGCTTTAAGACTTAACCTTAAATTTAGAAATTTAGTTGCAAATATTTTTACTTGTTGAAACAATTTACCTGGAGAAATTTGATAATATGGCATTCATGGTCATTCTTAAAAAATATTCCTATATTTTATTCCTCTTAACTTAATCTTAATAACCTAAAAATACACAAATTTTCTGACATTGTTTTGACAAATGTTTGTAGTCCTCTTTTTTCTTGTTTAAGATACTTCAAGTCATGTGGCAAATGATCCACTGTTCGCCGTTCGGAATAAATTGGCTTATTCTTTTTAATAGAAATTGTATTAAATTTATGATTACGTTGATCGTTCTTTAAAAACTCTTCTTCGTTATGGAATATCGAGATTATAAGGTCTTAATTAAACATTTTTCACAAAATTTGTGCTTAAATTAACTGCATATTCCATAAAATATAGGGCCTATATTGCAGCCTTGACAGAAATTAAGAGAAGATGAAAATAACTATACAAATGTTTAAAATTTAAAACTGAAAATAAAAAATAATAAATTAGAAAACGTAACTCAATAATGAATGTTGAAGATTATAATAACATTGTATCTTTCATTAGGAACTATAAAGGTCTCACGATTTATTGCATGAAAGAACTCGTTGAAAAATTTTCAAGGTATTTTAATAAATATATAATAATTACTAGAAACTATAAAAAATTGTTTGTTATAGTCAATTTGAGGTTCATGTGATTACACTGTCTTTGTTTATTCTTCAGTAAATAAATTAATAATGTAAGTAAGGTAAAATATTCTGTAATGTCCATGTATTTTAGTTGCAGTTATGACACACTATATAGTATTCTTCAATTTGAGTATCAGAAGAGAATGAAAATAAATCATTCAAGAACTCAACATAACAAACAAAGATTTTGGGAATTATATCAACAATCTGTTAAAAACAAAGAAGATCCAGGAATAATAGTGAGGATTGCAGAAAATTTTGATATTGGACCTTGTTTGGTGGCAAAAATTATTTTAAACAAATATTTTGAAAACAACAATGATGAAAATGCTGAACCTGTTTCAAATGTCAATGTTTATTTAAGGGATACCTCATTAATATCTGATCCAATATTGGCTTATGAAATGTTTTTAGTAAGGATTTTTATTTATTTATACATTTTAAAACATTTATTGTCATTATACTTTTTAAAATATAATGTAAGTAGGATTTTACCATCAGATTGTTTACCACACTAATAATGCTAGTTTTCAAAGTGATCAAAAGATCTTTATTATTTTTCTGAAATAATCCTTTATTTAATCAAGTTTTTGTAGAATGCTTTTAGTATTGATTACTTTTAGTATATAAGATTTATTTTAAACTAACAAATAACATTTTTGATTGCTTTTTAGTGTACCTTGTATGATAACGTTTATAGTCCTTTAACAGACGCTATGAAAAGGTAAGAACTATTTCATTTCTTAGTTCTGAATTTAATTTATATTTCAGTCATACTTATATACAATTTAAAGGAACAACCATATAGTCCCTATATTGTTACTATTGTTTAGATAATCTCATAATACAATTTTTTTGTATTTTGTAGTATTTTGAATTTGTATTACAATGATAGTATAATGTGAAACCTGTTAAAAAAGAAATAAAACACAAAGATGTCAGACTCAAACAAAATACGTATTTTAAACACAATAACGTAAAATTTGAACTCAATTGATTTTTTATGCATAGTTTTGGCTTTAATAGCTTTAACTGCAGTCACTTGTCTTCTCATACTTCTGATAAGGCTATTGATCAGTTGTTGAGTCAGTCTCTTTCATTCCTCAATCAAAGCAATTCTTACTTCTTCTCTGTTTTGAATAGCAGGAACCTATTCATTAAGTTTTCTGATTAGCATGTCCCATACATGCTCTATTGGGTTTAGATCCGGGGAACACACTGCCAAATTCATTGTTGCTGTACCCACTTGTAATAAGAAGTCTCTTACACAGTGTGACATGTGGGCACTAGTGATGTAACGAATATTCGCATATTTTTGCATATTCGCATTTGCATTCGCATTCGCAAAATTTGTGCGAATGTTTTGCGAATATTACACAGCTTGCATTTAGCTCGTTCAGTATCGAAAAGTGGTAAAAAATAAGTCCATATTTCACTATAGTTTGATTTACTCATAGTAATAAATCGCTAATCACACTTTAACTAAAAATTCACTTGTATTTGTGCACGAGCAGAGCAGGGCAAGTGGAGTGACTTGTGTCCCGTGAAATTTTTATTGGAACTATAACCAGAGAACTTAGTTCTCTGCTATAACTTTCTCTCTATAACAAGTCAAATTTGATTATAACAAGAGAAAATAAGATCGAAAAACGTGCTTTCTACGTTTTTGGCCCGGACGTGACTATAAATAAATACCTTTTTAAACGACCCCTCAATAAACTTAACCGCCTACAATAAACTTCTTTACAATAAATACAACTGTTTCACATCTTTACTTTAGCAAATATGATAGAATGATACTGGACAATTTAAAGCAGTTAAAAATGACAGACATTTTCCAATTGCCTACACACCTCGCGCAAATGAGACTGCCGGCAGTGCCGGAGACAATTAAAATTGCCAAATTAAAAAAAAACTGAATATTCGCATTCGCATTCGCGAATGTCGGTGGCATATATTCGCATTTGCATTCGCGTTCGCGAATGTTTAAAAAATGACATTTGTTACATCACTAGTGGGCACGCATTATACTGCATTAAAATACAATTTTTTCCAATGTATTATGCTAAAGGTACCACATAGTCTCAAAGAATATCTCTGATGTACTTATCTGTTGTTAATGCTCCACTATCAATCACCACTAACTCTGTTCATATTCCCAAACATATACTGCCCTACACCATAATTGAACCTCCACCAAAAGGTATGGTTGTAGTAAAACCATCGATCAAAAAGACAAAAGAGGAAATCTAATCGTTATGAAAAGGAGACCAAAAAAGTGGCCTCTGATGGTGGACCTATCCGGAAAAGCGAATGCGCCAAATTTAAATTTTTCGACACTTATTAACAGTAGCTATAAAATAGTTTTCAGAATGTGTCTTAGAAGAGAAACTTTAAATAAATATAAACGATAACAGTCTAAAATGTGACATAATTGCTAATTAACTTCAATATAAATAAGATTTCATGTGACAGTTGGGACAAACAATAACATAACCCAACTAAATTTGATTTCTTAAACAAGGAAAGGTTTTCTTTCCTTGTTTAATGTGGTCTCTCAAGATGGCACTTACTGTCTAACAATATTTTTGCCCCTACTACTTTTACATTCCCTCTTTTATCTTTTTGTTCGATGAGTAAAACTGAAAGGTGCATTTGGTTCTGCTTGGTGTAGATACAATCTTTCTCTACTGCTGATACAATTTACACAGAAACATCTCTCAGAGAATTTGACTCCACTGGTTATCATTCAAATTTTGATGTTCTCAGTCAAATTGTATTAGAGCTCTACAATGGTATTTCTGGAATCTGGGAGCTTTTATTGGCACATATGACTTGAGACCAACTTCTTTAATTCTCCTTTTTACTGTGCACTCACTTATGCTGGTTCCAAGAAAATTTTGCAGGAGTTTTTTGGTTTGAAGTGCCATTTGGGGTCTGTTTTGCTATGTTTGCAAAAATATAAATTGATCATCTACAGATGTGGTTAAATGTTTTCTCCCTTGTCCCCTTCTTCTTAAATACTCTCTGGTTTATCTTATATCAGTTAGTATTAAGTAAATCACTTATTTTTTCTCGCCCTTTGCAATAAGAATACCACTGATTAAAAGAAAACCAAAAGAAAAATCACCTTCAACAAACTCAAACAAATTAACATATCAATTAAATATAAGTTTGTACTTGTTATCAACAGAAAATACAACTTAACATGTAAAACACAACACAAATAAACAAATTAATTTGACATTTTGGCATTTAAAACTTTATTGTGGCGAGGAGCATTTAAAACTATCTAGCTATAGTCTATAAAATACCTGTAAATTTGCTGGTATGTGTTGGGATAAAGTATGGAACCAAGTAAATATCTTTGAAACGAAGAAGACATTATTTATGTAACTTTGCATATTGAAACAATAACACATTATGCCATATTTTTTGTCATCTGTCAAGTCAACTTGCGGGAGGTACTCTCAATGTAACTCCAAATGACACAGCTATCAAAAATTATAACAAAAGTCATCGTACAAATGCAGCCGGTAAACTGAGAACAAGAAACAATATAATAACAAAACTTGCTGGAACAATTTAAGGTGCTTTTGCAGATACACTTTGGACTTCTGCGATAGCTTTAGTTTTTTCAGTGGCAGAATATTACGCAGCAGTATAATAGTTCACATACCAACAAAATCAATGTCCAACTTAATCAAACCATGAGAATAATCGCTGGATCAATAAAATTAACCCCAGGAAGATGGCTCCCTATTTTTAGTAATATTGATCCACCACATCTATGCTGTACAGTAGCATTAGCGAGATAGTACCAGAAAATTGTAACCAATGTACAATTACCAATACATCAAGATATACCACACATCACAAAAGAGTACCAATGAATGAGATCTAGAAATCTTCCTATCAGAAGTGCCTGAAAAATTGGTGATATTTATGATATATAATGGCAATGGTCAACAAGATGGATGCCAGTAATGGAATCAGACTATATCCAGATATCCACTCCAACTCAAGACTTCATCGGATCAAATCTGCCCACCTAGGCAAGGCTTAATCGCATATAGGACATGGTCAATGTGCTGACTCACTGTTTTCAAATGAGCTCGTGCGAAGGGTCCAAAGTGCGGTTGCCGATCACACAGACAGATCATCATTTTGCAGTGGTTTATTTGGGCAGTGTTTCAGACTGCCCAAATTGTGCCTACCGAGGAAACCTCCAGAACTTTGTGGAATGTTCCTCAGAAGGAATTGAATGGTTGTGTAAATTAGACATTAATATTTAGTTTAATTTTATTTTAGCATTTCTGTGACTGATTGACCTAGAGAAAGTGTTTGACAGAGTAAGACTCAAAGATGTAATTCATCTTCTTTATAATAGAGAAGTTCCCCTAAATATTATAAAAACTATAACTAAAAACGAAAACATCTACCAAAACAACAAAATGGAAGTCAGAATAGATGGACAACTTACAGAACCTAGAGAAATAAGCAGCGGAATAAGACAAGGAGATTGAACCCCGTGCTCTTAATTTAATCTGGATGAAATCATGAAAAGCGTTAACAAAGGAAGAGGATACAGAATGGGAAACAAAGAAATAAACATACTATGTTACGCAGACAACACAATATTGATAACCCTAGATGAAGAGAGTGTACCAAGACTGGTCCACAAATTTAACATAAGAGCAAAAGAATTTAATATGACAATCTTATCTCAGAAAACTAAAATAATAGTAATCAGCAAAGTACCAACTAGATGTAAAATAGAAACTGATGGCATCAGTATTGAACAAATGGAAATAAAATACCTGGGAATTACACTGTCCAGCTATGGAGACCTGAACAAAAAGTGAATGATCAAGTACAAAAAGCGAATAGACTGGCAGGATGTCTTAATAACATTATAAGGCGAAACAGACACATTAACACAGATGAAGTCAAGAATGTATAAAGCCAGTGTAAGACCAATAATGACATAAGCCTCAGAAATAAGACTCTGATATATTTATCTCTCGTTTCTTTTAAGCTAATATAAGTACATTTAATTTTTGTATAAATATTTAGCATTTTACACTTTTTTTACATTTTTTAATAAATAACCTTTAATTCCTGATTATTTTTAGCTCTTTAGGTCAACAATATGAAATTAAATTGTATAGAGAAGCCACTCAACTTGGTTTAGGTTTTCGTGACGAAGAACAACTGAGGAGGTATGGGTATGACAAAACTCCTGATTGTAAGTTAGAAGTACCAGTTTCCATTAATGGATTCGTTATCAATTGGATTGAAAGTAAAGCTTTATTTGGGGAACCTGACGTTCATAAGGAGTATTTGAAAAATCAGTATCTAAGTTATTGGAACAGGTAAAATATTTGTTTATAGCAACTCCTATCAAAAATTAAAATTGTAGGCAGTAAATTCTTAGAAGTATTAGTGACGTTTCAGTGCTGTTGTAGGTCTTCCAATGACGTACGAAAATTTTATACGAAGTTACGACAAAGCTACTTGTATTAACACCTTAAGCGCCATTTGTATCCTATTAGATACAAACGACTTTGATCATTTTTGGCCACCTGTATCCAAACAGATACAAAGGAATACTTTCACTTTAGGCTAACTGAATTCAAAAGAATGCAGGGTTTGTATTTAATTGAATGGGGGACTTATAAAGCATGGCAGGTTGGTTCAAAATTTGTTTTTGGCCAACGATTTTTTTTATAAGTTGATAATTATATAACACATTTTGTTAAAAATAAAATGTAATTATTTAAATCAAAAATAACATATTTATTTTTAGTAGCTATTAATAAAAACTCTTTTAATAAATGTTATTACATTAATATTTTGGATTTATGAGAAATAAAAAAACATTTGAGATAATAAAATTCTTTACAAGCACTACATTTGTGGCGAGTTTACGAAGATTTGGCTTGTGCATATTTCCAATTGTGGCTGTTTGTTAGCCTTTCTTAGCAAGCCATACATCTTATTTTCTTATTATCAGCCACTAAAATATGATTTTCGTTGATGTTATTAGACGGAGAAGGTGTTGTAAAATTTTCGTCCAAAAGCTGAGTGACAGCTTGTTCTTTGAATTTGGCACATTTTTTTCTTTCTTCGTTACGGTCTGATGTACACAATACGCATTTATTAGCGTAGTTCCTGTTAGTAATTCTATTGCTAATTTTCGATACCATTTGATTCTTTTCGTAAACTAGTAGCATGTGCCTTCAATTAATCAAAAAGATCTATAAAGGCTTTACATTTATTGTACTCGGTACAATATGTATAAAATTTTTATCGGTTTTTCTATTTACTCGCCACATCTTCTTACAGGAGTTGTGCTTTGTTGAAATCACCAAGACATCTTTTTTGTCCTTCCATGTTAAAACAGTACAACCTGTGTTGCTTTGTAAAATCGTAGACTGATACTTCTCCAACTTTGCTTTCACAATTTCAGAAGGATTATTTTTTCTGTTTGAACGTAAGGTACGGATTTTATAGTTTATAATGCTTAATCCAAATCGATGCAAGTGGCCAACAGCGTCAATTTATGAAAATGGGCCACTTGTATCCATTTCGGTACAACAACGTTTTCATGAGAAAATAACATTATAACATATAAATTATAAAAGACACAGTTAAGTAGGGCATTTTGAATACATATTTATGAATTTTACACAGCGGCCCCCAGAATTGCGTTTTTTTTAACATGGTGGCGCCTAATGTGTTAACGAAATACCTCTTTATAATATGTATCATTTTAATGTAGGAATATGATTATTTATGACATTTGGGTTAATTACAATAAATAATTTTAGGTTAGTAGGTAATAGTATTGTATACTATTACGTAATATTAGTTAATACGCAAATTATATATATAGCAATACCCCGACTTACGCGAACGCGGAGTTACGCGATTTTCAAATCTCGTCGATTTAAACTTAACATAAAGATTTTGATACAAAAATGAAATTCTCTGAATTAGCAAAGAAGTTTAATCTGTCGAATCGATGACCAGAACAATTATAAAGGGCAAAGAAAAAATTTTCGAAGCTGTAAAAAGTGCACAATCTTTAAATTCAACCATCGTTCCTAAAGGTCACGTTATTATTTTTGAGATAGAAACAATGTTAAAATTATGGTGTGATAATCAGGTAAATGTGAAAAATTGTCCTATTGATTAGAACACAGTTCTAAGAACATCCAAGCTAAGCTGATTTTTGAAACATTGAAAGAGGATCCTGGAGAGATTGTTAAAGACGAAGTGTTTAAAGCCAGTAACGGTTGGTTCAGCTGATTAAAAAGTTGCTGTAATTGGCATAGTTTTGCCAATTACAGCAACATTGTCTATTTCTAGTTTTGCAGAGAAATTAAAAGTTTTGATAAATAAATGTGGCAACAACAATGTGACAAGCTAAATTTGGCTTGTAGGTGATTTGGAAGTTTAATCGTAAAGTTTGAGTGACAGATTTCCTTTTTGAGGATTGGTACGGTATTCATTTCATACCTGAAGTCCATTCTTCTTCTTAAGGTGCCGTGCATTTCTGCGTAGGCGTCCACCGTACATCGTCTTGTCAGGTGAGATGTTAAATATTCTGGTTTAAATAATTCTGTTTTTAGCAGCATTGCGAAGCATTTCATAGCTGTGGATTCCTGTCCATTGTCGAATATTGCGCAGCCATGACATTTTTTTTACGCCCGAGACCTCTCCTACCCTCTATTTTCCCTTCGAGAATCAGTTGCTGAAAAGTGTATCGTTCTCCTCGTATAATGTGCCCCAAGTATGCAGTCTTCTTACTTTTTACATAATTAAAAAGTTCCCTATCCTGTAAGCCCGCTCTTCTGAGTACTTCCTCATTTCTGACCCTGTCCGTCCATGATATTCTGAGCATTCGACGCAGGCACCACATTTCAAACACTTCAAGTTTGTTAATGGAACTGGCCTTTAACGTCCATGCTTCCATTCCGTACAGGAGAACAGGCCACACGTAACATTTAAGCATCTTGTATCGGAGATTGAAGTCCAATTTGCGATCAGTCAGAAACTTACGAAGCCTCAAAAAGCATTTCTGGCTTGTTCAACTCTGCTCTTTATTTCATTCTCGGGGTCCCAACCCTCATTCAGCAAACATCCCAAGTATTTGAATTGCCTGACTTGTTCGATTTCTTCTCCAGAGACATAAATCTTTGCGTTGGGGTAATCATTTCTACTTATAATCATTGATTTTGTCTTCTTGATATTTATTTTCAAACCCCGAGCTTCACTTGCAAGAGTTAGATCATTTAAAAGGCATTGAAGATCTTCGATGTTATCTGCCACTATGGCTGTATCGTCGGCATACCTGATGTTATTAATAAATATGCCGTTAACTTTAATACCTTATTAGAGTCCTCCACTGCTTCTGCGAAGGCTTTTTCTACGTATAAATTGAACAGCATTGGGGACAGTATACAACCTTGCCTTACTCCTTTTTTAATGGAGAAATCTTCTGTTTCGTTGAAATTTTGAAGACGTACTGTTGCTGTCTGATTCCAATACAGATTGGCGATGATTCTTATATCCTTTGCATCCAATCCCAACTCTTGTAGGTATTTTATCATCAATTCATGTTTTACATTATCGAATGCTTTCTCGTAATCGATGAAACAGATAAAAACATCCTTTCTTTGATCTAAACAATTCTGTATCAATGTTTGCATACTAAAGATCGCTTCTCTCGTGCCAAGTCCATTTTTGAAACCAAACTGACTCCATCCACTGACCTCTTCACATTTCTTAAACAATCTAGTGTGAAGTATTCTCAGGAAAAGTTTTAAAAAGTGACTCATTAGGCTTATTAGTCGGTGGTCCTTGCAGAAGTTCGCACGTGGTGTTTTTGGTAGGGCAATAAATGTAGATCGAAGCCAATCTTTTGGAATCTGGCCCGTATCGTAGATGTAGTTAAAGAGCTTGACAATAATGTCTAGGTTTTCTTCATTAAGTAACTTGATTGTTTCTGCGTACATATCATCTGGTCCTGGAGTTTTGTTACTTTTTAATAGTTTGATAGCGTGTACAATTTCAGCTTTCAAAATACTTGGGCCATACAAATGGTCTCCCAGTTGTGTTGGTTTTTGTGTTCTGTCATCATTGAACAAATTGGCTGTGTACATTTTCCAAGTATTAAGTATATCGAAGTCTGAAGTCCATATACATTGATAATAAAGAATATTTACTTACACTCTATAATAGACTTTTGTTCACAATAGGTGAGAAGTAAAACGGTACGCTACAAATAAGCTATAGTTTCGTATTTGCCACTCCTGATGATATTTGATTATTTTATGCATAAAACACTCATTTCTCTTTTACAGTCAAAACATTTATAACCCTATCTCCAAATGATCACCAATTTTTTTATTGTTTCAAATATTTAATATTTATTTAGTTTTATATAGAAACCGTTAAAGGTCGATTCAAACACATCAGTCCCGTCACAGTCCCGGCGCCGAACCGGTCCTGTTTGGACACAGAACTATTAAATATCTGACAGCTGGGAAACTGTTCGTCAACTGATGAATGTGAATGCTGGCGGCATATTTCTATTAAAGAATATTTTGTATGACGGATTGTTCGGTTCGGCGCCGGGACTGTGACGGGACGTGACTGATGTGTTTGAATCGACCTTAGTCCGTTGGTCAGCCATTTTTTAGTAGATACAGTTTTTTGTAAACAAACATGTTAGCCGTTAGGTTAGGTTAATAATATAAATATCAATAAAGTGCATGTGAACGTATAATTAAGATAAAAAATACCAAAAAAGTCTAGTTATTGAAAAAAACGAAATACGAAAATAAAGAAAAAAGTGCCTCAAGTAATAAATCAGTTTTTTTAATCGATGAGGTATTTTATACATTTTATAAATTTTCCAAAGCCTTTATTTCTTTATAAACAATGTTATTTGCAGTTCATATGTAGATGCATATCCGTTATTTTTCATTAAAAGTTTGTTAAACAAAATCAAACACAAAAACAGACATAACGTGCCTAACAATAATATCCCATATGCCCATCGGCATGTGGGTGAAGTGGATCTCGCAGGTATGTTTGTATCCCTATATAGAACGTCACTAAAAACCCACAGATGGTCTATATCAATATTTTCACAAATTTTTGTGAATTGGATATTTGTGTAAATAACGCTTGGATTCTATATAAAAGACATGATATTGCTGAACACAGATAAAAGAACAAAAACTTTAAAACAATTTCGTTTTTCCGTAACCGACAGCCTTCTCCGCATTTCCGAAAAATAAAAAAAAACGCGGAAGACCTTCAAATGAGGACATCGCTGCCCCCCCAAAATAAACAAAAACCATGTTTAAACCTCGGCCAGTAGGTGATATAAGATTTGATAATTTCTGACATTTCAAATGTACGAAATGTGACGTACGTCTAATGTTTTCTGTCGAAACGAAATTGAATCACTTGTTTCGAAAAGGTAACAAATGACACTTTTTGCCAAATACACTTGTTGACGCAATATTGCTCACAAATTTTTTCTATGTTTTCTGTCGAAACGAAATTGAATCACTTGTGTCGAAAAGGTTTTGCCAAATACACTTGTTGGCGCAATATTGCTGACAAATTGTTCCTACACAGTATGTAGTTTTGAAAACGTAACATATCTCATCTCGTCCCTGTTAAAAATAGACATTGAGTTTTGATTTAGTTAGAAAAGGTAACAAATGTTGGCCATGTTACCTTTTCGAACTAAACCAACTGAATTGGTTCGGCAACGATCGGCTTTCGGCTGACGGTAACGTATTGGAATGATAATATCACGCCAGTTCTTGCAAGTACGGTTAGCTCACTTGACCGTTGTTTATTGTAATACACTCAGTGATGTCGTCTAGTAGCGAGAGTGAGGATGAAATAATACGAAAACAGAGGAAAGGTGTTGTGAATGCAGGCAACTATAAACAAAATTTTATACGAAATGCTAAGGTGAAAGGAAAAGCTCATATAAATCATGTTGGAAAAGAAGTTCTTCAGAGAAAAACAGGAGTAAACTGTGGGTAAGTGAAAATGGTACAGATTTTAGAGTACACGAGTTAAATAGATTTATTATTATTTTTAGCTGTCTAAAGAAGTGTTGTCATATGTTCTCTTGTGAAAACAAGGAGGAAATTATAGCCAACATTAACCAACTTTCAAACAAAAATGAGCAGGATCTATATCTGCATAGACTCATAGACTCGAATCCGGTGCAAAACATTAGAAACCGTAAGGCATCCGTAGCATCAAGTAAACATAAAAGTTATTCTTGTAAATACTATGTTTGTAGTAATGGGCAGAGAAAAGAAGTATGCAAGAAAGCTTTCATAAGATTGCATGGAATTACAATAAAAAGAGTATCGTTTATGCAAACTAAAGTCTCAGAACAAACTTTCTCGGGATTTAAGAGGAACAGCAATATCGTCTAGGCATAATGCTGTTGATGGTAACTACTTGCATCGAATTAATGAATTTTGTTGATTCGCTACCTAAAAAAGAAGTCCACTACTGAAACAATATTAAAAAAAATACCTGTCTGCTTCATTAACTATGAGTTTCGATATTCTAAGGCAGTGATCGCCAACTTATTCAATGTTTTAAGCTACTTTGTTAATTTTGGAATAAACAGCGAGCTAACCATACCACGTAACGCAACGTAAATGAAATAATCTACAGTTAATCTATCATTATATGTACTTATCTTACTTTTTAACTGGTAATACATAATACATAGGTACTAATAATAAACTTATAACAAAATAACTAATAGTACTAGTATGTACTTGTTCATAGCTACATTCCTACCTATCAAACGAAGGTATTTGAAAAATAAACACAAACTTTTATTTAGCCACAACGGCATGTCACGTATGATTTAAAAATAGTTAATAATAACAACAAAAAAGTGACGCACTATCATAAACATAAACATTGAAAAATAAAAAAGGACGTCCAATGAGAAGGCTGACACTCAGACTCATCGATAATTTTTTTAATGTTTGCAGTATAATTTGATGCAGCCATTCGAATACAATTATCCAAATGTTCATCTGTAAGTTGATTGCTATATTTGTTCTTAATAAACTTCATATTGAAAAAAGAAGATTCACACAAATAGGTTGAACTGAATAATGCTTTCACTTTCAAGGCAACACGGCATAGAACTGAATAGTTGTCTTTACTTACAATAGCCAGATACATTCAGTAAGTACTTGAGACTAAAGATTTTAAGGCTAAATTATTTTGAAACTCAATGACTTCATTAAAACGTCATAAAGCGAAATCATTAAAACGATTTTTGAAGTTACTCTTCAGGGTAGAAATTATTTCTACATGATATTTCTTGTCATAGGGTTCTAATGATTTTGAGATATTTTTTCTGAAAGAATAGGAAAATGCTTGGAATCGCTGTTAATTAGGTTTTGTTCCCAAAACTCCAGCTTTTTAATAAATCCTTTTATATCAGATATCCTTTCCGCTAGTTCTGTGTCTCTCCCCTGAAGCTGCAAATTAAGTTCGTTTAATTTCTCTGTAATGTCCACGAGAAAACCAAAATCTTTAAGCCAGATTGAATTTTCTAGTTCTGGAGTCGGTTCATCGCGTTGTTTGAAAAATTGCACGTTGCGCGTTTCAGCACCCGTCCTCTACTTAACCATCGGACTTCAGAGTAAAGGAGTAGGTCCCCGTATTGACAGTCAACTTCATCGGCCAAGGTTCTGAATAATCTTCTTTGTAACGCTTGAGCTCTAATCTTGTTCACAATTTTTACCACCAGTTTCATAACGTTGTTTAGTTTTCAGGAAATTTCTACATAATGGATACTTGCTGATGGATAATGCAGTGCTAACAGAGAAATTTCGGAAAAGTTTCATCTTTACGACATAACACCACCAGACCCTTATCACAACCCAGCATAGCTGGAGCGCCATCGGTTGTCAAGCCTACCATTTTCGATATTGGAATTTTCTCGGAAGAAATAATATTTTTTAAATGAGAAAACAACTCTTGTCCAGTAGTGTGTCCTTTCAGTGGAATGAACTTCAAAAGATCTTCTTTAATCGTAAAATCAATAAAAACCATCCTGACGAACACGGCCATCTAGGCAGTGTCAACGACATCTGTTGATTCATCCAGTTGAAGTGAAAAATAAACACAGATGTCTAAGTCAGTTCTTAACTGTAAAAAATATCATTGCTCATTACTTCTACACGTCTCATCACTGTATTAGGAGAAAGTTGCATATATTTTATAACTGAAACTATCTCGTCTTTATTTCTAAAGTTTTCAAAGAACGAATCAGTAGCTTCTAAAAACGCCTGTTTTATCATTTCCCCGTTTTTTTTGTGCAATTATCGGGACACACGGTACGATGCTTCAGTTGCAGCCTTATTTTTGTCGACTGTCCTTATTTGACAACAATCAAAAATATTGATTGTTGTCAAATTAACTGTTTTTTTTTCAACTGTTTCAGTTTCTCCTTTCTGGCGGCAGAATGTAGTGGGAATGATTTTTCAAAATTAGAATGTACAGTTTTATGATGTCTCTCATATTTCCTTTTTAGCAACGGAGACCGAAGTATTACATAACAAACACACATTTTTATCTTTAATTTCTGTAAAAAAGTATTGTTTTTCCATTCGAATGAAAGTGGTATGTCTTTACCTTCGGAATTAAAATCGTTGTGAGAGCTACCAGAATTGCCTCCGCGAGCTACCGGTAGCTCGCGATCGACAGGTTGGCGACCACTGTTCTAAGGAAACTCCTGGCAAAGTAACTACACTTCCATTTATTGATAGAATAATCCAGGAGTGATTTGGATTAGCCAAAATACAAGAAAGCAGAGTTAATCTTCCTGACTGCGTTTCATATCCTGCATATTCCGGCAAATTGCCTATTAATCATAAAAAAATTGAAGACTTAAAGAAACTGTTGGTGTATAATCCAGTGGAAAAAAAGGAATATTGGTCCCAGAGTGTCACATGGCCTACAACAGAGGCCTAAACCAGCAGAAGAGGATTTCTAATTAGTGTATAGTTTATTAGTTGTATTATCAAAATTATTATTTTTTTTTTCATATTATTTGAATTAAACTCAAATAAAATAATGATTGTTCCATTTTTTCTTGGACTCGCACACATTTGTTTCGAAAAGTTAACATATGCAAAATATTTAAAGAAATATTTTATTGGTATAGTGTACTTTAAGCAATTGACAACCATGACATTGTGCAAACAACACATCCATTATTAACTCATATATTTGAAAGATTTTTGTAACTGCATCATTTTTGAAGAAAATCAGTTTTTTTGTCTTCCTGAAAAATTTTACACTTACGTACAAGTTACCTTTTCAAAATAAGTGATTGAATTGTTTTTACGATTTTCATAATAAGTAAGTAATCATTGTAAATTATTGTTGTTAATAAAATAAATCAGTACAGCCTGGGTGTTATTTCATTTTTCCACTGAAATTTGATTTATGAAACAAACACTCAAATTGGTAATGTGTATTGTAATACACACATTTTATTTGATGGTTTCTTGGCGCTGTGCATTTAGTTACTCAGATACAAATCAAAGTCAAGTCACTGGAATAATTTTTATTTTGCGTATTTCTTGGTTTGCCAAAACATCTATATTGTTACAAAAAATGAACCGTGAAATTTTACTCTTTTTTTAGTTATTCGGTTTCTTCTTAATTTTATAAAAAAATATTAGCATTTCCTGTCAATGTGTGTAATTGAATACATAACTAATAAATTTAATATTTTTTTTTAGATTTGGACCTGGTCTAGTAATATATTGGTTTGGTTTTCTGGAAAGCATAGTAGAATCGAACGATAAGAAAATAATTATTAGAGACCATTTGCCGAAGAACGTATGTCAGCTTCCAATGCCTAACTTTGAATTTGCTCTATAAATTTGTTTTTACAAAGACTGTACATGTATATGAATTAATTTTTAGTTTTTTTTATAAATATAATTTTAATTACAATAGAATATTAGTTTTTGTTAATCTATTGAAATTTTTTATTCATTAATTAAATGTCCTTACAATATACTACGTTAACACCAGACTACTTTACATATAAAAGATTGCCCTCCGTTGATAATAATCAAACAAATAAGATTACAGCCCTCTTCAAACCATACAATAACATCGGAACTGGTAGATACAGCGGTATTAATAACAATAGTCTATTTTCTTGTGTTAAGGATAAGACACCAGTAATGTATACTACCAATACAATCTATAAAGTACCGTGTTTAGTCTGCTATGGTTGCTATATTGGACAGACAAGCCAATGGTTAAAACAACGTATTGCCCAGCGCAAAAGTGACTGCCGTAAAGGTAAAAACTCATGTGCTGTTGTAAAACACTCCATCATCACAGGTCACAAATTTGACTATACCAATGTTGAAATCCACAAATAGTAACTAATTATAAAAACAAGCTGTTTCTGGAAATGTGTTATATTACTAACACAAAAAATGTAATAAATTACAAAGCAGATACGAATCAGCTAAGCAGCATCTACAGCAATATTCTGCAATTTAGTTAAGTCACAATTAATTTACGGTATACCTGCTACCTTATTTTATATATAGAAATTTAAAGAAACTCGTCTATTCCACTATACATTTTTTGTTGTTTTATGTGTATTTTAACTTATTTTAAAAATCGTCAGCCTAATTGTGAAAGTGTAAAACAGAAATCGAAATAGACAGCAAGAACACATAAAAGACAAAAATGGAGTACTACTAATAGATTTGCCAGAGAAATTAAGACGATGGGAGGAGTACGTTAGAGAACTTTTCCAAGATGAAAGAGGGAAATGCAGAAAATACAAGAATTAAATCCTTTAGAGAGACAGAAGATAACGATAGATGAAATAAAATATGCTATCAAAAACTCTAAAGACAATAAGACAGCTGGATTAGATGAAATACCAGTAAATTGTTAAAACTAGTAGAAGAGGATAACTTCGAAGTATTGGCAGATCTATTCAACAGGGTGTACGATACGGGAATAATACCACAAGAGTGGCTGAAATTTATAACCATCCCTAAAAAACAAGCAGCAAAAGAGTGCTCTGATTATAGAACACTGAGTCTCATGAGTCATACTTTAAAAGTACTGCTGAAAGTACTATATAAGAGAATATATGAAAGGCTAGAGGAGGATATTAGCAAGACGCAGTTCGAGTTCCAAAATGGAATGGGTACTCGAGAAGGACTATTTGTCATCAACATATTATTTCAGCGATGTCGGGATGTAAACGTTGATCTACACTTGTGCTTTGTTGACTACGAAAAAGCTTTCGATAAAGTAAGACATGAAAAACTAATATCAATACTTATGAGCAAGCGTATTGACAGCAAAATTATAAATATAGTGCAAACATTATATTGGAACCAAAGTGCCATAGTTCAAATTAATGGGCAACACTCAGAAGAAATGAAGATCTGTAGACGAGTTACACAGGTATGCGTTTTATCGCCACTTCGGTTTAAATTTTGTTTAGAAGAAATTTTCCAAAACACGCTGAATAATATCAAAGCGGGAGTTACCGTTAACGGAAAATTAATTATCAACTTAAGATATGCAGACAACACTGTGATCATAGGAACGAGTATAGAAGATCTACAACATCTTATCGAAAGCTTAAGTGTGAGTAGTGCTCATTTGGGAATTACTATAAACGCTAAAAAAACAAAGTACATGCTAATTAAAAAAATACATTACAAAATGACCACAAAATATACATCACCTAGTGATAATCAATGATAACGTGATAGAACAAGTAGAAAAATATCACTACTTAAGAACTTTGATCAATGAAACCAATTATCATATTGCAGAAATAAACAGGCGAATAGAGTTCTAAACCAGATCAGCATTTATACGAATGAAGCCACTCGTAACGTGCAAAAATCTAAATTTGTAGATCAGACCACGTACCATTTGCTGTTGTATATTTTCAATATTAATATATGGAGCTGACACTGGTACATTAAATAAATGCAATTTAAAAAGAATCGAGGCTTTCAAAGTAATAGAATTACAAATAAAGAAGTACTGGAGAGGGTTGATAAAGAAACATAACTAATCACCAATATACAAACCAGAAAACTGGAATACCTAGGCCACGTGATGGGGGAACCAAAATATGAAATTTTGAGACTCAATACAGGGAAAGATTCAAGGAAGAAGATTTGTTGGCCGAAGGCTCATGGTTGAAGAATCAAAGTGATTGGTATCAATGTAGATCGATTGATTTGTTTACAGCAGCAAGTTCAAAAATAAAAATAGCCATTATGAACATTATGAATTTTTGTGAACAGTTCTACCCCTGGAGAACTTGGCATATACCAAAATTATATATTTTAGATAATTATTATATATATATATATATATATATATATATAAATATATATATATATATATATGTATATATATATAATATGTATATATATATATATATATATATAATATATATATATAATATTATATATATATATATATATATATATATATTATATATAACGAGATATTCGAGAGAAATGGAAATCGATCTAGACATAATAGACACAATCGAAGCCAAAAGAGTTAACTCGTATGGACACCTTCAGAGAATGCCGGAAAATAGATGGCCAAAAAAAAAATAGAAGAATGGACTCCGCCAACTAGAAGAAAACGAGGTAGACCAAGACGATCCTGGAGAGACGATGTCGAAGATGCAATGACCGCCAGAGATCTAACAACTGAAGATTGCTTCGACAGAAAAACGCTGGAAATTAGGATGCGAGAAGCGGCGCCAGCTGTAGAAGACTCGCTTGTTATATATATATTATATATATATATATATATATATATATATATATATAATATATATATATGTATATATATATATATATATATATATATATATGTATATATATATATATATATATATATATATATATATATATATATATATATATATATATATGTAACAATAAAACACTGAAAACTTTGTTTTCAAACTTCCACAAAATTTATTTTAAAACTTATCACTACAGCTGTTTCGGCTGATTGCCTTTCTCAAGTGATCTATTTTGGCTTGGGTTTACAAATTTATAGTCTCTAATGAAATAGGTTGAGGAGGGGAGAACTGTTTGTCTCAAGACAAGTTGGTCATTCAGAATTATATCTGTGTTTTTTAATTTGTTGATTTCCATAGATTCTAACAAAGATAGCTTAAGGCCTTTATTTTGAATGTGAAGAATTTTAAATTTGTCATTAAAAGAATGATTATGATCTAGAAGGTGAAGTGCGTATGTCGAATCTGTTTTTCTATTCTTGAAAGCCCTTTTATGTTCTGTTATTCGTTTATCAAAGTTTCTACCAGATTGACTGATGTAAGTTTTTGGGCAGTCGCCAGTATGACTTCGCTGTTTCCATTATTTTTCTTCATTTTTCTCTCTCTTTGATTGTCCTTTCTATATTTATAATTTCCATACTCCTTAAGTCTTCTTCCACTTGTTGTCTCCATCTCAGTTTAGGTCTGCCTCTGGTTCTTTTACCTGGTGGTGTTCAATCCGTCCAAACTCTTAACGGATTGCTCTTCTCTATTCTCATTATGTATCCATACCAGCTAATTCTTTGTGCTTTTATTGCTCTAACTAGGTTCTCTTGATCCATCTATTCTTGTATTTCGTGAATCATCCATTGTCTTACATCTTCTTCGTTTTCCCTCTTTGGTCCCAGTATTTGTCTGATAATCTACCTCTCATAAACTCTCAGTTGCTCTTATAAACTATAAAAAATCAAAAACTATACGCGCAAGCAAAAATTGGTAATTTTTAGCATACATTTTCTCGATAACGGTTGCAGATACGAAAAAATTAGAAAACATCAAAAAGTTTCTTAACAACACGTTTTATAATCTATCATAGGCGCACTGCAAAAAGTTTAGGGAGAAAAGGGTGCTAGACTTTTCCAAAACAATCACCCTGTACATTTTTACAACCATTTGGCATACTTAACGATGTAAACACTACAGAATAATCTAGATTCCAAATTTGAAGTAAATATCTCGAAAAATGTGGGAGCTATAACGAAAAAAACAAAAAAAATTGTCAACCCACCCTGCAGGAGAGACTTAATAGTAATGACATTGGCACTTTTTCTCCGATAAAATAACTAAATATTAGAAGTGCGTACGACAATAACAGCAATTACTGTTTTAATTACACCTTTTCAGTTTGATTATTCAATAGTTTCAAATTGTTCTTTAATTAATTTTACTACATTCGAGGAACATTTTGGCGAAACATTGTTCTTGTGGACTTTATGTTTTAATTAAGCTCATAACAGTTCAAATGAATTTAGCACATAATAATATGGAGGTAGTCTTAAAACTGTGTGTCCATTATTCCTTGTAAAGTTGTCAACAACATACTCTTTTTTCTAAACACGGGTGTGCAGAACTTCTAGTAATTGTTTTTTGTATAAGTTTCTTCAAGAGAGAGAGAGAGAGAGAGAGAGAGAATCTCTCCTGTTGCCGACCAGAATGTAACTTCTACTATTTTTTAAATAATTCTAAACTGTTTCTCCTTGTTTAGTGTAGTGTTATGTTCAATTGTATGTTTAATTTTGAGTTTATGACATTCTGCAATTGTTGGATAGCCCAAAATTTGACGAAATGCCCCTGAAGATGCTCTAGAAAGCGAAAGTACTCGGGCAAGATTTAAATAATAAAACAGTGCTCGATATCTGCTTTTCATTTTATCAAAGTTAATTCTCTAGTTATTTTTAGTTTGCCAACGCGTTTATACCTGAATAATTAGTTTCTGATTTTGCTTAGTTAAATCAATTCAAGTTTATCAAGTTGTTTTTAGTTAGTTAGTTAATATTTAGTTTAATTATTGTATAACGAGACCTTTAAATTTTTACA